AGTGGGTAAGAAATTAAAGCCTCAAGTCACCCAAACCTGGGTTCAAATCCTGTGGAAGCCCAGGGAATATGTTACCTTTTGCTACTGGTGAAGTGAGGATAATAATAATACCTCCTGTGCTGGCTGGTGGATTAAATGAGATGATGCATGAAGATGCACAGCCTGAACCTGGCACGCTGTAGTGGGGAATGAAGGAGTGGCTCCCCGATGTGTGGTGAGGTCTGCTGGGGCTTGGTTTCCTCTTTGGGACCCCCCCCCCACAGGAGATACCCTGTATTTGGGTGTAGGAGCACCGAGAACCATATTTTGGATGGAATAAGTGGAATCACCAGGCAGGGCAGGGGCACAATGGCATCTGGAGCAGAAGGCATGGGGACAGAAGCTGGGGAGGAAGCTCGGTGTCTCTCTGTCCAGCCTCTGTGGCGAGGCCCTCTGCCAAGCTTCTCACTCGATCTGGGTTTGCTATGGAATAACTGCTTCCAACAGTACCTTAGCCTGCTTCCTGACATGAGATAGCAAGAAAATACCATTGGATTCTTCAAGGACCCACAAACAAGCAGCTAATGGATGAACCATCACAATCTCACTACAGCCTAATAGCAAAACAGCTCTGGGCGTTAAGCTCCATCCTAGGAGCTTTCTACCATCTGAGTACACTCCTGCAGTTGCGAATGCTGCGGAACAGAGGAAATGACAAGGAGTCTGGGACACAGGACAAAGGGAATCAGAGAATACTAACTTCTGCCCGAGGGAAAGAAGCAACAGGAAAACCAGTATTTGTTATCCAAGTTCTAGAAAAACAATCTATTGACCAAGTTTGTAGATTACATAATGCTCTCCCGATCTTCTGCAAACTGTTGGAACTGCTACATACACTGTCCTGAGTGCTTGAGGTGAATAGGTTACTTTGTAGGCTGCTCATTAGCCATCTTATCTGCTTATCAGGAAGTTAGCCATGTTTGTATCCAGACTGGTTCATGCCAGTTATATGTGTTGTTGTAATTATGTAATTTAACTAACTGTTCTGCAAACCAGTGAAATCTGAGTGCAGAAAGAAGGACTTACTGTTGCTGAGAAAAGTCAGTGGAATGCTTTGGAAAGACTAGAGACTCAAATTTGCTTAATAATGCTATAGAGTTAGGATCAATGAGATAAACAGAAGAGACTGGAATACGCAATCAAAGTTGAGAAAGATACTGCAGTCAGATTACTTCCCAAACATCAAAGTTCTTCTATATTTATTTTATTACAAATAAAGATGGAATTTATAGATGCCATAATTATAGGAGAGGTTTGTGCAAGTAAAATGACAAACTTTAATCAGAAAAGGTCTTGGACCTCTATCAAAACATTAGCAAATAAATACATATGTGTATCTTTTAAATGAAAATAAAAATGTATCTCTTTAATGGGTGTTACTTCCTTCAACCAACTTTTTCAATTAAGCAATCAACAAGCTAGTTGTTATTACTGAACCAGATATATCTATATAAGAAAATCTGTCTTTTCCTGACTTTTCTATCTTTCTCTCCTAAAACTGAATAGCTACTGTATGCCTATTATGTTCTTACTACAGAACTAGTCTCATAGTTGTTCCTCAAAGCAACAATGAAAAAAAGAGTGACTTAGAATGATTAGTTATGTTTGGGAAAAGCTTCAAACTGTACCCCCTTGTGCAAACTCACAATGGCCCTAGTACACTAAGAATAAAGAAATAAGCCAAAGTTGGTATAACCCAGATTTTCCCTAGCTTATTTCAATATGGAACCCTTTCTGGGGAGCAATACCTGTAACACCCTGTAAAGGCACACATTTTGGAATCAATGCTTTAGGACTTACACAACAGGTATAATGTATGAATGATTCCTACTCTTGAGAAATTTACAATTGAGTCAGAGATACAAGACATGTAGATTTGACACACACACACACACACATATGCACAGAACAGGTAAGTGACAGATTAGGATATTCTTAGGGTCAAATGATGGTAAAATCAGTAGGTGGTATAGATCAGAACAACAGATCAGCCATCTATCTCTAATTAATTTTTACAAATTTTGGGCCTTAGCCTCAAAAACTTGCTCTTGATGTACTATTCTAGAAAGTTCAAAGTGAACTCACATTTCTTGAGTGTGACTATGTGTCAGGTTTGGCTATTCAGATATGTTATCTCATTTAATTTTCACAACCATGGGAAATGGTATTATCTTTTTTTTCAAAGAAATAGATTGCACAGCTAGTGGGAGGGCCTTAGTTCATATCCCTGTCTGTCGGGCTTCAAAGCCTGTCTTCTTTCCATTGTAATCTTGTCACCAAAAGCTTTATCTGGTTTGCGGCTGTGTGCGACCACCTGTATCTGGGCAGCCAGGCTGGCAGCATGGAGAGGACAGCTGTGCTCTGCTGTGTCCCTACAGCCTGGGATGCCCCTCATCCTCTTCCTCCCCATCAGTCCAGAATTTCTGAGTTCTGACTTAAAAGGCCAAAGGATCACACCCTTGTCAGCTCTGGACGGCCGCTGTGAGAAAGGCTTTAATTGGGAGGACTTTGCCAGTGTTAAGTGCTTTATTAATAGTATCTGTACCAAGTGCCCTCTGAGCTGGGGTGGCCAGGGGGTGGGAGGGTGCTGAAGGCCCTACTCATGCTTCCCAGCATGGCCCTCCCATCATTCCAGGTCCCCTTTGGGTTGCTCCTCTGGGTCCTTCCTTCCCTTCTGTTTCGTGCTCATCCGTGACCCCCTCTCCCCTCCGCCCCACCTGCCTGTTCCATCCCAAGTCCTGCTGGAAGTGGCCATGGGGTGCAAAGCAACCACCTGGAGCTGTAGAGTGGGGCCAGCAGGCAGGACATGAGCCGCGGTCCAGGCCAGAGGGGAGGCACAGCCAGGAGGGACCATTAGGGGGCTCTCCAGTCTCGGGCTAAAGACTAACTCAGGGTGAGCCGCAGATGTGAGTGGAAGGTCACTGGGTAGGAGTCTGCAGCCCAGGGCATTAGGTGAGTGCGGGGTGGCCTGGGGGCCAGGCTCCCGGGCAGGGAATCTACCTCACAGCCTCCTCTCTCTCCCACATGCACCTTTGCTCCCCTGCAGAAGTGAGGTTGCGGGTGCGTTTACATTACCCTTCAAAACTGTGTGGGGGTGGGAGGTGGGGAAGGGAGGAAAGGGACCTCGCTAGCACTGAGGAAGCACCTCGGTGTGCCAGGGTCTTGGCGATCGTTTCACAGCTTCATCAGAGGTGAGCGTGGCCAGGTTACAGAATAAGAGGTAAAGCCTGGATCTGAACCCAGGTTTGGCTGCATCAAAAGCCCCCGAGCATTCCACCACACACACAGTCCACAGTGACGCCTCACCACGCCCCAGTGTGTGGGGCCCGCTCCAGGCTCATGGCTTTGGCAGGTCAGCACCCAGAGACAGATCTCCCAGAGATCCCCTCTTCCCCTAGTGCAGCTGGAGCTGCTACATGGATGCCAGGCTCACAGGCCAGCAGGCTCCTGGGGGCCGTTGCCTCTTGCAGTGTGGGAAACCAGGACAGGCAGGGGGCCTGGGCATCCGTGCCACGAGCCCCAGCTGCTAAGTCAGGGCTGCTCCCAGGATTCTGGGCATGGCCTCCTCTCCTCCCCTCCTCACTTTAGCCCTCAGGCTGCCAGCCCCTTCTCCCCAAATTAGTTACTGTTTGTTTCTAGGTGACACTTTCAAAATGTGCTTCTCAGCAAAGTACTGGGTGGCCCCAAGTCCCTAGAGTTGGGAGGTGGATATCTGTGGGGGGTTGCAGAAGTCAGCCCACATCTGGCACCACAGAGCCATCTCATGCTTGCTGGGTGCACAGGCCCAGCCCTTCTGCACCAGAGTCCCTATGATCCCCAGATCTGAGAGCCCTGCCTAGGCTGGGGCTCCACGGCCTCTGGGGGTGCTCCCATTTCAAATAAAGGGCTGCTGATGGGCTGATTAATTAATTTCCATGATCCACTGAAGTCTCTCCTCTCTGCAGAGCCTGCCTTACTCCCGGCTCTTCCCCACACTTTGCAGGCCAACATGGTCCCTTGGGTTTCGTCTTGTGCGTGTGCCTACATGCTGCCGTGCCAGGTGGGGAGCTTGCCAACTGCTGGGGGCCTCCACCTTTGCTCACAGAATCCAGCTCCTGACCCTGGACACACACACACACACACACACACACACACACAGTCAGTTCAGTCACTGAACTTTACTCATTGCTGCTATGGCTCTTGAGTGGTGTTGGAGATGACTGTTTTGGAAGTCATTACTGATATTGAGCTGCAGGTCTGTTGCAACTATAACCAACATCACATTGGCACGCACAGCAGGTGCTTTATAGAAACATTACATTTAAACCTAACGCTTTGTCACCATTTATGAAAGTAGCCACAGAGGCCTATGAAAGAATGTTCTCCCCAAGGCAGAGCTATGGGTACACGAGGACATGAGGAGCCAAGGTTTCAGCTCCTGCAGGGGATGGTCTTACCGCCGCTCCCCAGCACTGCGCGTCATCCGGCTGCTCCCACAGGGGGAAGGGACACACACCCTCTGCTTCCCCCAGTGGTGGGGACTCCAGGGAACACAAGAGTCCTGGCCACGGAGCAGGGTTTTCTTCCATGGGAGGAGGGCAGGGGTGAGCATGGCGCCTGCAGGGGGAAGGTTTTGGACCATAACTGCAGCTCTGGGCCCCATGGCATCTCACTCTGTTCATGAAACAATGCCAAACACTTACCCAGTACTTAACTGCCTTCATAATGTGTCTGTCCCCATTCCTTTATTTGATGTCGCCTGTTCTGTGTGTCAGCAGGAACAGGACTAGAGAGAGTCTCGCAGTGTTAGGTCCCACGTGAGCCTTCCCTCTGACCTGGCCTCTGGAAGATGACATTCCTACCAGAGAGCCTCTCTTTGCGGGCATGCCCTCTGTATATGTGGGGATGATGGCAGAGGCTGGTACCCAAATGGCACTCCTGCCCGGGCTGCGGCTCTGCACCCCCAACACACACACACTCACCATGAGATGCTGGAAGAGCCAAGAACGCATTATATTGGTGGCATGCTTGGGCAAGACTCCTCGTTTGTTCTTGGACTTCTTATCCTCATTGTCCAGGAGGGAGGTGAGGTCAAGGTTAACCTTCAGAGCACGTGGAGAGAAAAGCAGCGTCAGCAGCCTGGGGGCCAGCAGCTAGGGACCCGTTGTTATAGCGACAGCAGGCGCTCACTGCTAACCCCCTCCCAACTCATTCTTAGGGCCCGGGCACTTCACCTTTCCTGTCAACCTACACCAGTCTCTCAGAGAATGGGAGAAGGGAAGAAGGAAGTGGGAGTAGGGGAAAGAGGCGAGAGGGGATGGAGGGAGCAGGGTCATGAAGAAGGCATGGAGAGACAAATCTGCAAAAAGCTGCCCCACAGTTATTAGCACCTCTGGGGGTGGCACAGTATGGCCCTTGGTATTCATCTTGAACGTGCGTGTGTCTGTATATTGATGGTTGGCAAAGCACTTTGCTATCCATTTCTAAGGTTAGCCCTCGCAACAGCCCTGCAGATGGGTGGGGCCGTGTGCCACTGGCATTAGTCCCGCTCTGTGGATAAGAGCCCCGAGGCTCAGAGAGGTTGGGAGATTTATCCAAGATGACAGGTTAATGTCAGATCTGAGGCCACTGACTTCTTACTCCCCACCCCCCTGTGCATGTGTGCCCTGTCCCACTGTGCTAGGTAGTGGCTCCGAGCGGAGACCAGGAGTAGGGGGTGTGGTCTTTGATGTGCCTTCTCTGATGCAGCTCCGAGAGGCAGCAACATCCCAGGAACTGATAAAAGCTTCCCAGCACCAGCTTCTTCTCTGCAAAGTGGGGGTAACGATGCTCTCAGAAGAATCATGAGCTGCTCATGTAAAGTGCCCAGTGGACAGTAAACAACTTCCGTTGCCCACCCCCCGCCACCATGCACATGTGTGCACACCTGGACACACACTCACCTGTGTGTTCTGGATCTGGATGGCTCCCTGGGGGATTGCTTGGGTGACCACCTGACCCTGGGAAGTTACCATGGTAACCGGCTGGTATAAGGCTCCACCTAAGGAGACAACCAGTTTTTGGGTCCCCTGCCATGGGGGTGGGTAGGAGTGAGCGCCAGCAGGGGTTCCAATTCCCTTGGCACTCACTTGTAAACACCCTCTACTCTGGAGGCATTCAGCCTCTGCAGAGGAAGGCTGGGAGGAGGATGGGGTGCAGAAACCAGAGCCTCTGGTGGCAAGTGCTGGGGGCAAGGAACACGAGCCTTACTTGGTCTTTGAGGGGCTCATCCTTTGACCCAAATTTGTTCCAAACCATCCCAATCAGGTTTGGTGCTAACCATCTATAAACTTACAGAGCAGTTTAGGCAAGAAACTCAGCTGGGGACCCCTCCCTCGGCAGGGGCACCCACTCCCACTTCTTGGGATGGTTTGTGCAGTGCCTGCCCTCCACCCCTAAAATCCCCTTGGGTCCACCCGTTCTCCTCCCAGCGGTGTTCCCCACAATCCCCTGCACCCACCTGACACCACTTGTGAATTGACGGTTGTCATGGCAATGTTGCCCTGCTGGAGTGCTGAGGCTGGGACCACAATCCCCTGGGGGTTACTGGAGACTCCAGACATGGAATTGGGGGAATTCTGCAGGAGGTCCTGGCAGTAAAGGAGGTGCGATTTGTGACAGTGTCACGAAGAGCCTAGAGCCCCAGCCCCAGATTCCTCCTCTCCCCTGTGCCCTTGCTGCCTTCCCTCCTGGTCTTTTCTGCTCCTGCCCAGACCCAAATCCAAGAGGCAATTCTGGCTTCCTAGAAAGAGCGAATAAGAAGGCTCAAAATTAAAAACCAACCAGCCAGCCAACAGTGGTCATCCACTTAGCCATGCATCCTGCTAAAAGCCTGAGACACGAATCAGCCCACAAACCAGTGGTCCCCGCTTTGCTTTCCCTGTGGGATTTCCAATATGGGAGCCTGGGTTCTAGTCCCAGACATTCTAATTTAATCGGTCAGGGTGTGGCTGGGGCTTCGGAGTTTTAAAAGTGTGCAGGTGATTCTAATATGTGGCCAGGGCCAAGAACCAGGCTTTACCTGCTTGGCAGCTATTCTTCCTTTACAGTCAGTTAACCGTGTCCAGATGCCTTCCCCGACATCCCTCCCTCAGTACCTGTACCAAGAATTTATTACACCAAGCTGCCTGCAGCGTTTTACCTTTGCGCCCTCACCTAGCTCAGTGCTGGCACATAGAGCCTACTACAGCTCCCTGCACGGCGTGCACGAGGGCAGGGAAACTTGGCTGCAGCCTCCAAGGAGCAGTGACCTCTCCCTGCTTGGGCTGGTTGCCTCCTCAGTGCAGGGAGGGTTTATGAGGCAGGTATTCAATGTGTGAGAGGTCGGGGTCTCTAGGCTTTATTTGGAAAAAACAAGAAAGGTGGCAGATGAGGTGAAGTGGGAGTTGCTGTAGGAGCCCTGCCAGGGCCGCCCAGCCCCTGGGACTGCAGTTCTCAGCTGTGAGCAGGGCTGGAAGCAGGTAACCTTCCCAATGGCTATTGGCCTGCCTGAGGGTTTCAGCCCTGGGCAGGTTCACTATGGATTTGGTGAGACCAAGAAATGACAACAGAATGTTTTTAGGGTAAAAGGGTTTATGCCTGGCTCTATTCTCACAGTAGGTCGAGCACTGGAATCACGTCCACACCCAGCAGTCTATAGGTCTGTAATCTACCTCTCTCTGCCTCCACCCAGAGCACTGGGCAGAGCTCTTTATATGATGCCTTAGTCAATAATAGCTAATTGGCTGTGGGTGTGGAAGCAGTAGCCTAGCAGCAGGCCAATTACATCAGCAAGTAGTTTAGGGTCAGGTGAGGATCCTGGCTGCAGGAACTTCCATTTCCCCACAGCGGCCCCTCCAGAGCTGTGCTGTTTGCCCTCCTGGACTGTCCCTGGCCCAGAGCTGGAGGAGGTTTGCATTTGAATGAGCAGTGTCTGGAGAACAGTCCAGATCTTGCTCCTGCCCCCCTGCCACTCAGCCTCTGGGTAAGGCTTGCCCTGCGTGGGTGGGGCAGGAGGAGGCCCTGCTTCCATTTCTGGCTCAGCTCTGCTGCTGTGACTTTGGGGAAGGGACAGGACGTCGCTTGCCTACCCTTTTCAGGGACTCAGTGAGAGCCTCGGGGCCAGTGAGGTTTATTCTTTGAGCAGAACTCGACCTTCCCGCTCATGCAGTTCAAGTGTGACACTGCGTCTGACCTGCAGAAGCTTAAACACTGGAAGAGCCCTTAAAACCCACATACGCCAACTCCCTGAGGCACACAGACGGAACTGAGGCTTAGAGACCCAGATGATGCACCCATGGTCACCCAGCTCAGGGGGCAGCAATAGCACCAGCATGCCGCCCTCCTTCAGAGCCACAGACGCTGAACCCCTGCCTTGCACCAGGACCTGGCAGCAAGGTGCTCCTTGAGTTGTGGGGGCTCCATAAAGAGTCACTGAGGGCAAGGCGAACAGATAAACCATCTAAAACCCAGAAGTACAGAGGCTTCAGTATTTGGGAATTTGCTGGATTTGGGAAAGATGTGGGATTTGGGAATCAGATGTTCCTGGCTCCTGGTCCTACTGTGGCCTCAGTCTTCTCATTGATAAAATGCATCTGACTCCATGCTGACACCCAGGGGCCCACACAACGTGAGTTTTTTAACTATGAGTCTCCTCTGGGGTTGATGCTCCCTGGTCCCAACATCCCAGCCCGGCCAACCATTCCCCCAGGATATAAACCAGTACTGGTGGTATTTGAAGCTGAAGCAAACTTGGAAGGTAAATTTAATAGAGGAGGAGACCCCTCCATGCCACTCACCCTAACACTAATGGACTCGACTTTTCAATAATCTCTTGTCTGGAATCGTCCATGCCATGGTGCCCCTCACTGGGTAAGGATATTTGGGAATTTCAAACATAAAAGCTCATCCCAGACTTTCTTCCTCTTGAAAAAGTATCTAGCGGGGTTAGGAAAACACAAGCAAAATCAGTAAAATAAATACAAGATGTGTGCCTTGGGATTCAACCAACACACACTTGTCCTTGCCGTAGGCGCAGGGTGAGGTATCACCTAGCTATTTCATCTGCTCATTCCAGCTCTGGCTGGTTCTCTGCCTTGTGGCTTGGCCAGCATCCTTGTGACGCTGTGGGTTTGGGTAACTGAAGGCGATGCATGCACTGGGTCAAAACCTTCTCTTTCCTACCCTCTCCTCCTACTCTGGGGTCTTTGACTGGGAGGTGCTGACAGGCAGCCAAGTTACATCAGCAAAGGCATGGAATGGAGAACTTGGTGGGAATAGAGATGAGCGGGGCTGGGGTTGGCCACATCTTAGCTGGGGCAAGAAAGAGGAGGCACCGTCTTGGCAACCCTGAAGTCTGGGGAGCTGGTGTGCATCCCTTATATTTACGTTTGTAAATATAAGCTGTTTCACAAACCTGCCTGAGCACCGGGGTGATTTTAAAGACAGAGATTCTCAGGGCCATTGAGTCAGACCCTTAGCCATCTGTATTTTTTAACATACAGATGGTCCCAAAGATCAGATGAGTCTGAAAACTACCTATTTCCCCACACGATTTCATTTTAATCTCACCACTACCTGTGGGGTCAGCAGGAGAGAGGTTTTCTATTTGCCTGAAGATGAGTTGAGGTCCAGTGAATGGAAGTGACTCCTTAGAGTCCAAGAGCTAGCTGTGCCTTGAACCCTGGTCTTCTGGCTCTGATACTCACACAGACAAATGTGCTTTGGAGCCCATCAAGCAGGTTCCCAAAGTAAGCACAGTGCCTGGGACACCTAGGCACCCAATAAATCATTTCCCACTTCCTTTGGCTGAAGTCACTCAGCTAGGGAGTTGAGTTTGGCACAGGTACGGCTTTCAACCTGTCCTTGAAGTCCAAGAGCCACATTGTTTCCTTACTTAGTAACACAAGAGATTCATCTGGGGCTGCACACCTAGTCATGGCGGTTAACCCTTGCCACATGCCCCCTTCATTCCTGCCTCCCTGCCTCGCTGCCTAAGACGTTCTTGGGCCAAGGCCAAGCAACAGAGGTCAAAGCTGGAGTCCCTGTCCCCAGCTAGTTCCGAGGCTTGACTTTGCAGCTATTTCAGGCCAAGCCTCAGTATCTAGCTCTCTAGGGCCTTTGTCTCTATGGAGACCATGAGGCTCTGAACTTCTGGAACAGTCTACAGGTTTTTTTTCTGGGAAAGGAGCTACTAGGTCGGCAGCAGAAGCCCCTTGGGTAGAAAATGTTGGCTAAGCACACACTATTATTATCTCCTCAATAGCTTCCCCTTGGGGCTTCTCAGACTTCGAACCAGGTGGGTGCTGCTCTGTCTGGACCCAAATGGAGCTGTTCCCTTCCAGGCCCGTTAGCACCCATAAAGAGGTGAGAAGCACAATTTTAATGACATTTTTCAGCATCAGAGTCTCACATCCCTGCTTGAATCATCCAGGAACCAGTGGCCGAGAGCTGGTTATCCAGCCAAGAGCTCTTTGCCTTGTTCCACTGGGAACATGGCAGTGGTGCCCACCCCTCTAGAAGCTGCTGGGGGCCTGGGATCATGGGCACTTCCCTGGCTGTTTGGTGGAGCCATTCCACTGGACCGAGGAGTGTGTGGTCTCTTATTTTCTAGTACTAAGATTGACTTTCTAGTGGGAAATAGGCCCCAAAGCTGAAAACTTCCATAAAGTTTCCAGGAATGATGTCTCATGGGACATGGACCCAGAGCCAGGAGCTAGATGGAAACCAGTGTGCTGGCCTCTGCAGGCCTCCCCGGACGCTGTTACACTCATGGGTCCTTGCATGCTGTTTCCCTGAGATGCAGAGAAGCAAAGAGCCGCTCAGAAGGGCACAGAGCAAGGTAGGGAGTGGCCTTGAAGTGGCTGAAAACTTGCATCTCCTGAGCTCCACCGAGCAAGGCCCTGGCTCCCTGGGACACTGGTCATTCTTTCTGGACCACAGAGGTCATGGGGTGAGTTTTATTCCAAATCTCATTTTTGGAAAAAAGAAAGATGACTTATCCAAAAGGAAAGCCTTACAAAGAAAAAGTGAAAGGTTCTGCCATTACTTTTGGAGGCAGAGAGAGGTGAGGGGTAGCACTAGGAGCTGACGATAACCATGAACTCTGACCCTGTGGTCTGATGTCAGCCCGGGAGGGGCTGTGTTGGTCCCTAGAGCCACAGTTCTTTACTGTTAATAGGGAAAGGGCTATGTTACCTGGGAAAACATGATCCCCACTAAAGGCAGAAATGCCTGGAATAAACCAAGATGGGGGCAAAAAATAAGGGGATGAAGGAAAGAACAGATAAGTTTTCCTTTCAGTTATTTTGAAATAGCTGGAATTTTTCTTACCAGGATGCCTATGAAACAGAGGAACGAATTGTATGACCTTGCAAAGGTCCTTCCAGCTGAGGATTTTAGGAAAACCAGTGCCATTCTCTGGCATTTATTGTGTGGGTAGAGGGGTGTGAGGGGCCAGAGGGAGCAGGGTTGGGGGACAGCACACCTTGGGGTGAGCCCAGCTGTCTGCCATCCACCCCCTGGCCACTAGGGGTCTCTGCTTATCCACGAGCTTAGACCACACTCCTCCAAGTCTCCCCAAGCTTCCCAGGAAGGTGGCTTTGCGGGCTGA